TTCCGCGCCGGCGCCGCCCGCGGCCGCGCCGCCGAGCCCCGCGCCGCTCGCCTCCCCGAGGGCGGCGACGATTTCCTGTCGCTGCACGCCGATTCGGACGAGGAAGGCGATTTCGGCGCCGAGTCCCAACCGGATCCGCGGTGGAAAAGCGGCGGCGGCGCCGGCGGCGGCGGCGGCGGTTCCGATCTGCGGCGGAAAATCCTCAGCCAGCGCCGGCTGCGCGCGCCGCCCTCGCCGCGCTCGCCCTCGGCCGCCTCGAGGAAGAAATCCAAACGCTCCCGCGAGCGCGGCGGCGGCGGCTGGGCCAAGAAAGCGCCGGAACCGGCGCCGAAACCCAAAGAGCGTCACCGGCGCCGCGCTTCCCGCTCCCGCTCCCGCCGGCGCTCGTGGTCGCGGCGCTCCCGCTCGCGCTCCAAGCGGCGCTGCCGCCGCTCGGGCAGCTCGGCGCGCTCGCGGCACAAGGAGAAACACCGCGGCGAGAAGAAGAAGAAGAAGCAGCGCTCGCGCTCGCGGGATCGCCGCGCGGCGCGGCGCGACGGCAAAGCGGAGAAGGGCGAGGCGTCGGCGGCGTCGGCGTCGTCGCGGCGTCGCGAGGCCAGGGCGGTGGTGCCGCCGTCGGTGCAGGAGTTGAACGATTCGGATCTTTTCGCCATCAAAAGGACCATCACGGTGAGCCGGCGCGCCGCCGGCACGCCGGAACCCAAACGCGAGGTTCTCTACGATTCCGAAGGGTTGAGCTTCGAGGGGTTCTCGGACCGCGAGCACGCCGAGGCGCCGGCGCGGAAAAGCGAGGCGCGGCCGGCGGAGCCCGGCAAGAAGGAGAAGGAACGGAAGCGCGGGCGCGGCGAGGAGCGGGCGGCGACGGCGACGACGAGGGAAAAATACAAGAAGAAATTCAAGGAATACCCGGAAAGCGCCGAGAAAAGCAAGGAGAAGCAGCGGGAAAAATCGGCGAGGAAAGGGAAGGCGAAGGAGGCGGCGGAACCGGCGGCGCCCAAAGCGCCGGCACCGCGCAAGGTGAAGCTCCAGTCCAAGGTGTCGGTGTTGATCCGGGAAGGCGTCAGCTCCACCACGGCGGCGGCGGCCGGCAAGGAAAGCGGCGGCGCCGGCATCGCGGTGAAATTCGCCCGCGACGCCGAGAGCCGCGCGCCCTTCCTGAAATCCGAGGAGAAACCGGCGGAAAAGGCGCCCCAAAAAAACGAGGGGACCCCCAGGGAGGCCGGGGGCGCCAAAAGCCGCAAGGTGAAACCCCCCAAGGCCAAGGGAGGGGCGAAGAAGACGAAGGCGAAGACGAAGGGCGAAGCTCGCAAGAAGAGGAAAACCAAAACCAAAAGCGCGCTGAAGAAATCCAAGGCCGACAGCTGCAGCCAAAACCCCTCCCCGCCCGCCCTGCGCCTCCCCCAGAAACCCGAAACGCTCTGGTCCGGCTCGGAGAAATCCGCCGGGGGTACCCCCAAACCGCCCAGCCCGCCGGTTGTCGCCCCGAAACAGCCGGCGGCGGTCGCCGCCGCGCCGGTTGTGCCGGCGGCCGAGCGGGAGCTGACGCCGGATTCGCAGACGGTCGACAGCAGCTGCAAGACCCCCGACGTGTCCTTCCTCCCCGAGGAGGAGGAGGAGGAGGAGGAGGAGGAGGAGGAGGAGGAGGAGGAAGGGGCCGGGGGACCCCAACAGGCGGCCGGGGAGGAGGGGACAGGCGGCGGGGAAGCGCCGGGAGGGGAGCCCGAAGCCGACAGTCGGTGCCCGGGGAAGGAGGAGGCGGCGCGGCCGGCGGTGCCGGCGGTGCCGGGGGGATGGAGCCTGCAGGGGGGAGGGGATTGGG